ATGTACATAATATATCACAGTGACACAGTACATAGACACACACACAATAGGGTCAAACTAGAGGCAATAAACACAAATATTACGCTATAATTTTGTACATTGTAAAAATTCTGAAATTACAGTACAGTACAGTACAAGAATAAAAACAACAAAGCGGAAATTTGACTATAAAATAACAAGATAACTGAAATGCATTGTAGTATACCAACCTTAAATACTGCACTTGTTTTCACGTTGATGATACACAGAGATTTAACGCCATCCAACTTAGAAAGAAGAGCCTTGCTATTGGGATTTGGAAATATTTATATAAACACAATTCCTTCGCTCAGACGGATTATTTATAAACTAAACTAAAATGACAACACGTCCCATGCAATTTAAAAAAAGGTAAACGTGGTATAGTAAAACACAAGTGATAATGAGGATTGCAACAATGCAGCAATATGCTGTTTTCACAGAGTATCTGACACTCTTGTCGTTCGAAAGCTTCCATATTGGTTTAGTCAGAGAGATGTTCACTCCTCGACAGTCAACAGTCAATGAAGTCACATGTGGAATTAGGCGCCCAATACCCATGATGCTTTGCGGCCCGCTGTCCAACCTCCTCTGGTATTCTAATGAATGTAGTTTTTACTTAAAGTGGCTCTACTGTAGTGTCATACTCGATTGCTTTATTTTCTGCATAATAAATTAATGTATTCATGATAATTGCACAAATTCACGAACATGGTTGAGAAAATAAATTATTTTAAAAGGTGTGTATTCCCTTTTTCTGAGAGGAAAAGGAAAATATTTTTTCAGACAGGTTGCTGTAAAATATGGAATTTTGAAATCATCAGCCCAGTAGATATGGCAATACTGAAAAGTCCATGAAAACTTCAAATGGCAAAGCAAAACCATAAGACAGGACCGAAAGCAAGACAAACAACGAGAAATAAATGCTTGCTGCTGAGAATTTTGGTTAGGATGCTAAAACAAATTGCGACATCACTGTTTTATCTTTGGTTAAAGAAGCCGGGTTAGACTGTCGCTTATGCATCGTAGAATGTTCACTGGATATCTTAATTTGATGAGTTTCAATTTTTTTGTCAAGCACAAAAGAAAGGTCTTCTGTCAGAAAATGATGAAAGTGGTTCGGGTGAAGTATACACAATCTGTGAGAAAGTATCTGAAAAAGGTACCATAATTCAATGAAGGATGCTTGTCAAACAACTGCATGTGTGTGGCAAAAGCTAGGAGATGGATTTGCTTCACAGCTAGAGGAAGGAAAGACCTGGCAGGTGGTTCTCGTTTTCATCTCATTGTTGCTATAGCCAAAGGAAAAAGCATAATTCTAAAAGAGCCCTACAAAAAATGACTGCATGGATACTTTTTCGCCAGAATAATGCAACAATATTTTAAGATAACGCATGCAAGCAAGGGCCGCCTCAATGTTTGTTATAGACAATGATCCTAGTCAGACAAGAAATCCATGCAAGCCTTAAGAGTGACATTGAAGCCCAACTACATTATATTCCACTCAGGACAGATCTAAAGCAGATGGAATTTTTTCCCATCTATTAAAGAAATGTTTATGGCAGCAAGTGTTACACATGCAAATAGACAAGGAATCTTTCAAAGAGCAGGTTTTATGCTGCTGTAACATTAGCATTGAAAGAATTTACAAAACTATTCTAAGTCTACGGGAAAAAAATTGACACTGTGATAAAAAAGAATGGGTGCAGAACAAAATATTAACTTTCACTTATAAATGTAATAACTATACATTCACCTACATCCTAATTAGATCAGTATATGTCAGGCACTAAATATACACTCAAATTGCATCATGTGCATTCAGTACTCCACATGTGTAGTGGAATTTTATCAATAAAACTTTTTAAAAGCAAATTTTTCCCTTTTTATCCTTTAGTGCAGTTAACATAATAACGTTTCAACAAAGCATTCTTATTGTGATAAATATTACTTTAGCAGACTTTTAAAAAGTACGTCACATGTGTCTTAAGGTAATTCCGCAGTTTTGCATTGCGCACTTTTACTGCGCACATCTTATAACTTATAATTTCATCTATTATATGTACCGCTTAACAAAAAATCATTTTATGACAATTTTATGTTACTTCAAAACATCTTTGGTTACATTCGTGCAAAGAATTACATTAAAATCAATGTTTTCAAAAAAGGCATACAAAAGTGTAACTAGGGTTCCCTGTGTCTGTAGTATATTTATTTACTTGTATTTCACGTTTTAATGCGACAATTCCTTAAAAAGATCAGTGACCCCCATTTCTTAACTGATAATTTATTTCTTTAACACATTTTAAATTTCATATCCGAAATTGAAAGAAAAATCTTTTCTGGATCTTGAAAAAATCCATGCTAAAAAACGTCAATAAATATCGGGCTGTTGTGATTTTGCCATTACTCGTAACGAGCGTCAAGATGGCACCATATTGGGGTAAAGGTGGTATATTGTGATTGTCATATCTTCTTAACGAGTTTGGTGACCCAGACTTTTTTGTGTGATTTTACTTTAAGCATATCATAAACTCCATGCCTAGGAAGTTTCAGCACATTCTCATTTTGGGAACAATTACTGCGGAATTACCTTAAATAAAATTATTTAAAGAGTTTTATATACCAAGATAAGTGCTTGATAACAAACCAATAGCTGTAGCTATTAAAGTTTTGTACCTTAATTATTGTCATGCAACATTATAAGCAACAAGTAATGTGAAAAAACTGTCACACTCCCACAAGCCCAAACAAGCACAGCAGAGGGTTGACGTATTTGCTCATCGTGTGGTATTTGTTTGCAGAAATTTAAAAATAGCCATCTCACATGCAAAATTTGGTCAATAAGTTGATCAAACAGAGATCAAATTACTGTGCGGTTCAGCGCAATTGACCTCCGTAAAATTTTGTTTCTAAAAAGCTCAAAACTTATTGTAATAAAGGTAATTTGATGCGAACACAATCATAAAGATTCACTTATCCTGTTTGTTTTGCCTCTATTTGGTAATTCTACTGGCTTCACATTATTTTTGAATTCTTATGTCATGTTGTTGATCATCGTATATTGTCGCTCGCTGTGAACTGTACATTACTGGTTTGTGCTAAATAATATCTCCAACTCTACGGTTTGCATATATCATATTATATATCGGTGGATAACAACAAAGCTTTTACAAGTTGCATAAAGATTTGGTAACTTCCAGTTTATAATAATTTGAACTGAAGTTCTATTATTTTGTCCGTTGGCGCCGGATTTTAAATTTTTGCGGCGTCTTTATTGTGTTTCCTTGGCAACAAGTATATACGTTTGTTGCAGTTATTTTATGAACTATTTTGGATTTCCTCGTTGGAACTTATTTCTGGTGACCCTTTACTTCATTTCGGTTTATTGTTTGCCTTGTTTCTTCGTTTAGTTCTCGAATTATTGAACTTTAACGAATTCATCATCTGTTTGGACATCGTGACCTTTTGACCTGTTCAAATTTTAAAGTTCTCTTGGGGATTTTCCCTGTTTTATCTATATCAAATTCAATTGGCCATTACATGTGCAATCGTCGTACGATGCTACACTGCAGATTTTCACTGGTGTTCTGCACATTTGTAATTGGACTTTATTTCGTTGACTTTCTCACGACATGCGGCTCAACTCAAGTTCAATTAAATTATACTTCCTCCCAATGCAATGATTGTCGTCATGGATATGCCCAGAAATCTTTGACTAATATCAAATTCAAACGGCGTAAAAAATTTCTGGCTTCAAGATTTCGGTACTACCCTAATTCTGATGCTTCTTTTAATGTGGAACGTAATCCAGGTCCATCAAACGGAAGTAAATCTAGTTCTATAACACCATCTAAACAACATGGATCGCTTACGTTTATTATGCAAAATGTACGTAGTCTAAAGTCTTTTCAACTTGATAATTTAACCAACTGTCGTGAAAATAAATTGTCATGTTTCCAAGATATTGTATTGTTAAACCAATTCGATGTCATCGCTCTCACAGAGACCTGGTTGAATAATTGCATAACTGATTATGAAGTTATTCCAAACGGGTATCAAATCTTTCGTAAAGACCGTTCAACTGGCAAGCATGGAGGTGGTGTGTTGCTAGCGGTGAAGGATTCTATAAGTACCGAGCCTTTCATTTTTAATTGTGAATCGATGGAATTGACAAGCGTTGTAATTAAATCTCTTTCCAAACGTGTTCTTATTGCTGTGTGTTATAGACCACCTAACGCTGATAGTGACTTCCTTCACAACTTAAACACTTTTATAGTGTTTGCTATTAAATCTAATCTAAAGGACATTATTTTGCTTGGTGATTTCAACTTTCCAACTATCCAGTGGATAAATGGTTCAGGATTTCCTGTTACGTTGTGTGAGACTAGTTTTACTGATTCATTGCAAGATCATGGTTTTTTACAACTTGTAACTTCACCAACTTGTGGCTCAAACATTCTCAATCTGGTCCTAACAACCAATGAGTATCTTGTGGAAAACATCGAGACCACGGATGATGAAGCTGTTTCCCTCAAATCTGATCACAAATCAATTATGTTCGATGTTTTACTCAATCACAAACCAAAATTTGCAGCGAAGAGAAAAATCTACAACTACAACAAGGGTGATTTTGTAGCTCTCTGTGAATCTTTGAAACTCTTGCCTTTGACTGATATTGTTCTCAGTGAGAATGATATTGACATCGCATGGTCCAAATGGAAGGACACTTTCCTTGCTGCTGTTGATACATATATTCCGAGCAGGCAAACTTCGCAAACCTACACACCCCCTTATTTTACAAGAGAAATTATCCACATACTTCATCAGAAAGAATCTCCAAGAAAACGAGCAAGAAAGTCTAATTCGGCATTGCTATGGGAAAAATTTCGTGAACTACGAAGGTCAGCTAAACGCATGATCAAAACCAAAAAGCGTGATTATAGTTTGTCGTCTGCTAAATAATCTATCCACATCGAAAGCTACGGGTCCAGATGGGATTTCGGCAAGATTATTAAAGGAGTGTTCGGAAGTCCTTGCTCCGTCTCTTACTGCATTATTTAATAAATCCATTGCTCTCGGGCAAGGTTCCTGCAGATTGGAAGTATGCAAACATCGTTCCCGTTCCCAAAAACAACAAAACTCATATTATCAGTAATTATCGTCCAATTTCATTATTAAAAATCTGGGAAAATCTTGTATTACTCAGCTTCTTGACGTTGTTTACAACATTGGCAAGGCGTTAGATTGTGGTAAAGAAATGGATATGATCTATTTAGATTTTTCCAAAGCTTTCGATTCGGTACCTCACGATAAACTTATTTTTAAACTCTCCCAATTTGGTATTACTGGGCCGCTCTTAGACTGGTTTTCTGACTATCTGTCTGCACGTAAACAGCGCATGGTAGTTGACGGTTTCTCATGAAGTTACCTCGATGTAACATCTGGTGTTCCTCAAGGCAGTATTGTTGGCCCATTGCTTTTCTTGATCTACGTTAACGACCTTCCTGACGCAGCAAAACACAGCAAAGTACCAATGTTTGCCGATGACAGTAAATGCTATAAAATCATAAACAATCCACATGACTCTAATCTCCTCCAATCAGATCTTCAAGCCCTGTGTCTTTGGTCTTCTACGTCGAAGTTAAAGTTCAACTTGAAGAAATGTTCTGGAATAAGATTTTCACGGAAACGTTGTATTGAGTCTCCCGATTACTTTTTATGCTCCAGTCAGATCCCTTTTCAATCAACTCAATTACAATCATTACGAATAACCTAAAATGGTCGCCTCATATTTCTAACATTGTTTCCAAAGCAAACCACATGCTTGGATTTCTACGACGTAACTGCACATATTTAACTGATACAAACTGTCGACGCTCTCTCTATTTGACACTTGTTCGTACACACCTGTGCTATGGCAGTGAAATTTGGGCACCCCAAACAACATCTAGGGACCTTCTTTGTCTTGAAAGTGTCCAAAGACGAGCAACCAAGTATATCCTTCAAGACTTCAACTCATCTTACACCAACCGTTTAAAGAAACTTAACCTACTGCCTATTTCATACTGGTTCAAAATCAAAGATATTACGTTTTTTTATAAATGCAAAGCTGGTTATTATGACTTAACACTTGAAGACTATATTCTGGTCAATTCTACTAATCATCACACTCCCTTTAGCTCTACTGATTCATACCGACCAAACCGTTGCAGAACATCTTCTTTCCGAAACCTATTTTTCAATAGGATAGTGCCACTTTGGAACAGCCTGCCAGGAGAAATAAAATCCTCTCTCTCTATTCAGTCACTGAAACTTAAACTCTATAATCACTACACTAAAAAAGTTAATGCATGTTTTGATGTTAATAGGCCTAGGACTTGGAAAACATTTTGCTCTAAATGTCGTTCTTGTTTTACGTCCTGTTGTTCGTAGAAGTGCATGTTCTGAGTTTTTGTACGAATGTAATTATGTGTAATACCGTAAATATGTAACTAGCTATGTATTTTGTTAATTTTATAACCGTTTATAGTATAGTATAGCATAGCATAGTATTTTCATGTATGGCAGGACTTAATTTGGGACTTTATTAGTCCTGTTGTCTGTGCCTTCAATTTCTTATTGTAAAACTAATAAAAAAATAAATAAAAAAAGTTGAATCTGAGGATGCAAAGTATCTGCCTTAATGTTTATACCCAAATTATC